CCATTTACTTTTAATGGGCAACAAGTTCGGCTTCTCACTGTTTGACCCAAAAATCAAGTGAAATCGGTTGCATTCTCACCAATAGCTTGGTGATCTTCATCAAATTGAACGACCAATTTTTGTCCTTCCTGTAAATTGATTATCTTCACGCATCGTGTAGGCCCTTTGGTTTTTCTTTTCAAAATGTTAGGGCCTACATTGAAAGATTAATAAATATACTTCAAGTAAAAATATCAAAAGAATTGACAAAGATCAATAAAAGAAAAAGAATACATGTTGAATTTGTTGATTCATGTTCTTCCACAACCATTTCACTCACTTGTTCAGATGAGTTCTCATTAGAACTATTTTTTCTAAGAAAAGAACTCATGAAAATATCATTTTTTCGGAGTCTATAAATATCAATTGACTTATCCTTATGCTTCTCGTAACTAAGAAGCATATTCTTAACATCTGAATCGTCACGACATTCCACTAACCCATCACGATCACTGATAAGTCTATCACCTCTCAAATAAGCAAACTTATCTCCTTCAAGAATATTGAAGTTACAAAGCTTTTTTATTTCATCAAGCAGATCAAAGAAAGCTATGAAATCAATATCAATGTTTGCTTTCATCAACTGGCCACTTACATATTTTCTAGAAGGAGAAAATATAAAATGGCCACCATAATGGAAGCTAAATTCCAATTCTTTGGTCATATTCATGTTTCCTAAAAAATTCATAATATAAGTTAGCTAGATGATTAAACAAATACAAATTGTTGTTTAATTGAAAAGGAATTAATAAAGAATTCAATATTTTATAAAAGCTTTATTGCAATTACCCGAATAAACAACTTCTTCCATATATTGTGTGGGCAAATCTTCTGTAACAGATGCTTTCTTGGAACTTTTCGGAGGTTTCGTCTCATGATCATCAGTCAATCGATTATTTCTTTTTCGAAGACCATTTCTACCCATATCTGATTATAAACAAGTATTTTTTAAGACATCAATATATTTTGGAAGTTAGGTCAATGTCTGCTATATATTTGCACCGAGGAAGTTGGCTAATAATGAAACACTATTGGAAAAAGGTGGGCATACATCTGCCTTTAAGCACAATTGCACAGGCGACACTAGTACTGATGTAATATTTCTCTAACATTAGTAATAATACTTCCTTTCACAAAAAAAAAAAAAAAAAAAAAAAAAAAAAAAAAAAACTAAATTCTCAACCGGAGAATGATCAATAAAGCTTCCTTTTAAATATCGAACATGGTAGTTTTATGTTTCTATCTTTTTGATATGGTGATCAATGGCTGATCCAGAATATAAATTCTATGGGTTAAATTTTTAAATTTTTTAGTATTGAACTCATTATATTTTTAAAGTTATGGGTTCATATCTACTATTTTTCCAATTTTAATGAATCTTTACATATAAATTTTTACTCCGCGTCGAAAGTTATGGGTTTAATTGAGCCCGCCGTATATACACTACCTCCGTCCCTGATGGTGATAATATTTAATCGGAGTAGGTTCAACTTGTTATATGTTACAAATATGTTCAAGACATGAATCTTGCAAGATTTGATTACACATTTGATAACTTAATCTTGTAATTCATCCACAAAAACAAAAGAGTTATGTTAAAGGAAAAGAGGCGTACCTTTGATGCAGGGGAAAAGGCGTACCTTTGCTCCTCAATTCTTGTAACTTTTAGTATTTTAGGATTTTTGCTTCTTTTAGTTTATGTTTTGGCTCACTGGTCTCTCTAATAGGAAAAGAAGACTGTGATTTAGGCAGAAAAAATTAGAGGGAAATAATTTGGAGGGAACTTTTTTCTTTTGGTAAAATCGTAATTTATTTTTCAAATTGTATATTCATGTTTCCCTCCTCCTAAAATCAGACCAACAAAAAGAAGTTACATAAGAATATTATTAATATAAACACATTTTTATTCCATATAATTTAATTATATTTATCTGTTTTAGTTTGTAACTTATTAATATAACTATATTTTATTAACATAACTATTCTCGAAGTACTTGAACATGATAAAGCTTGGGTGATACTTAGTGAAGTTTTATTTAAATTCGATAAATTAGTTAATAAATATTAATTAGAGATGATCACCTTATTTATTTTTATTATATGTGAAATTTACTAGTAATCTAGTAAGCTCCTGCAAAATTAGGTCGAATAGAACGATGAACACCTCTAATTACACTAAAAGGTATTGTTTTGATTAAAAAAAGGTCTAAGTAACATAATTATTCTCGAAGCATTTGTTAGGATAAATCTTGAGCGATACTTGGTGAAGTTTTTGTAACGACCCGGCCGGTCGTTTCGAGAGTTATAGCCCAGTTCCCCTATTTCCTGCTTCTTTTATGTTCTACAGCTGTATTATGACTTATCAGGTTAGTTGGTTCGGGTCTGGAGTGATTTTGGAGTGAATTGAGACACTTGCTCTCTTATTTGAAAGCTTAAGTTGGAAGAGTTGACCGGATGTTGACTTATGTATAAACGACCTCAGTTGAATTTTGATGGTTCCGTTAGCTCCGTTAGGTGATTTTGGATCTTAGGAGAGCGTCCGGAATGTGATTTGGAGGTTTGTGGTAGAATTAGGCATGAATTGACAAAAGTTAATATTTTGACGATTTTGGCCAGCAGTGAAAATTTTGATACCGGGGTCGGAATGGAATTCCGGAAGTTGGAGTAGGTTCGTGGTGTCATTTCTGACTTGTGTGTAAAATTTGAGGTAATTCGGACGTAATTTGATAGTTTTGTTTAGGTAATGTGTCGGCTTGCCTAGTACAATGATAAGCGCCATCACGACAGGGTTAGTTTTTGGATCGTGACAGTTTTATTTAAATTCGAGATAGGAGTTAATCAATGTTAACTAGAGATGATCACCCTACTTATTTAAATTATCTTATGAGTAAGATCCTGTACTATTAGGTCGAACTGAATGATGAACACCTCTAGTTAACCTAAAAAGTATTGTTTAAATAGAACGAATCCGAGTAAAATAACTATTCTAAAAAGCACTTGATCAAGATAGATTTTGAGCGATACTTGGTGAAATTTTTATTTAAACAAAAACCTTCTGTGTCTAAGAAGAAAAGCAACATCGAGTTAGGTAGGATGTAGATCGAGCGCAATAAGCTAGAGGAGTGATTATTTCGCTTTGGAAGGAAAAAGCATCTCAAATAAGGTCCTCACTCAGTTTGATATAATAGTTAATCAAAGTCAATTAGAGATACTGTGAAATTAAGTCAAAAGAACACCTCTAATTACCCTAAAAGGTATTGTTTCGATAGAACACGTCTGAGTAAAATAACTATCTCGAAGTATTTGATCTTGATAGAACTTGAGCGATAGCTTGGTGAAGTTTTATTTAAATTGATATAATAGTTAATCATTAATAATTACATATGATCACCCTATTTATTTTAATTATATGTGAAACTTACAAGTAATTAAGACAGTAAGAAACCCAATGCTCACCGGCGCACGTTAGTACGACGTCCGACCACCGTGGATATGGCTCGGGGAAGAGGCAGACCTCGAGGAAGACCAATGTTGCAACCTTTAGCTGGGGGAGGAAACCTAGCTGAAGCTAACTTGAAACCAGAGAAAACTCCAGTAGCTACTAAGGCGAATGCTACTGTTCCATTGGAAGATAATCAACAGGAGCAACATGCAAGTGATGGAATGAAGGAAACTGCAGCTAAGAGATTGGATTTGAGTGTTAGTCCAATCTTAAGTGGCCAAAGTGACAAATCAATTGAGAAAGCTGCAGATCTAGCGAGTACGAGCAAGGATCTAGCGAGTACGAGCAAATCAACACAAGATCTAACACCAGTAAATGAGGAGAAAGGGGAGAAAGCAGCGTGGACCTCATTGTTTGCAGGTAATCGCAGCTCTGAATATGGTTTGAAACTGAGTTATATACCACCTAAAATCGTAGAAGGTAAGACAGTAGTACAACTTGAGAAAGAGGATGTAGAGAAGGAGGTTAGGAAATGGAAATGTGCTTTAATTGTGTATGTAATTGGGGAAACACCTGGCTATAATTACATGCACAAATTTGTAAAACATAGTTGGAATCAAGTTTTAGAACCGGAAGTTTTCTGTCATGATGAAGGATACTATGTTGTCAAGTTTCAATCAATGAATGATATGAATGAGATTCTATACTTGGGTCCATACACAATGAACAATAAGCCACTTATTTTGAAGCCATGGACTGTTAATTTTGATTTTACCAAGGAATTTCTAACTGAAATTCCACTGTGGGTGAAACTACCTAATCTTCCTATGAGTTGCTGGGGTGGGTAGTCTTTGAGCAGAATTGCAAGTGCTATTGGCAAACCACTATATGCAGAGGAATGCACCTCAAAACAAAAGAGGATCTCATATGCTAGGATGTTAATTGAGATTAATGTCACTAGAGCATTGCTAACAAGTGTTACAGTATGGGAACCAGATGGAAGACAGTTTGAACAAGCAATAGACTATGACTGGAAACCAGAATTCTGTGAAGAATGCTTGAAGATTGGTCACTCTTGTAAGAAAGTTGAGAATGGGCAAAACCACTATGAGCAACCTAGAAGAAGAAGGAGGCCAGCTGCACCACTTGCTGCACAGGAAGGCCCTCAACAAGCACAGAAAGTGGTACAAGAGTGGAGAGCTAAGAACCAGATAGAGGAGCCTCCTACTGTGGTAGTAGGAGCAGATCAACAAGAGGAAGAGATAAATGACAAGCAGCCTATTGATCAAACACAACAGCCTATGGATCAAACACATCAGGCTCTAGCAAGAACTGAAGATCAAACACCTGGAAGGGTGATTCAAAGCACTCAAAAGAGCCCTAAACTGAGCTGTATCAGGGAGTTCCCAGCTCTAGCTACTAGTATACTGAGAGGGAATAGAACAGGGGAGTACACAGGTGGAAAGGGGATACAGCAATGCTTGCCCACAGCTAATAGTGGGCCACCTATTAGAGTTTAATGACTTGGGTGATATGGAATGTGAGGGGAATAAATAAGATATATAAGCAAAAAGAATTAAAGATATATGTACAGAATAAGCAAATAAAATTAGCTGGTTTTTTGGAAACTGGAGTCAAGGAGAATAGAGCCAACAGAGTTTTCAAAAACATCTTACCTGGTTGGGAAATTCAGAGCAATTACCATAATGCAATTAATGGGAGGATTTGGCTGACATGGGATCCTAAGGTATATTGTATTGATGTTGAAAAAACAGATGCTCAAGTGATTCATTGCACAGTAAGGGGGAGAAGGGATGGATTTGAAGCTTACCTTACACTAGTGTATGGTTTCAACACAGTTGAACAAAGGAAAGCTTTATGGAGTAACCAGAATGACATTTCAGCACAAGTGGCAAAGCCTTGGATAATTGGTGGAGATTTTAATGCAATGCTGTATACTCAAGACAGAATGTATGGCAATCTAGTAGCAATGAGTGAAATGGTGGATTTCTCAGACTGTATTCATAACCTATTTCTAAATGAACTGGCCTGGAAGGGAGAATACTATACCTGGTCCAATAAACAGCAAGGGGATGACAGGATACTAAGTAGAATTGATAGGGTGTTTGGTAATGACTTGTGGATGACTAACTGGGGGCATGTGTGTACTGAATATAATGTACCATTGATATCTGATCACTCTCCTATGTTGCTGAACATCAAGTCCATGAGATCTACTACCAAACCACCCTTCAGATTCTTTAATGTATGGACAGATCACAAGGAGTTTGGAAATATAGTGATGACCATATGGAACAAAAGATTAGCAGTGGATGACATGGAGAATGTACGGAAGAAGCTTAAAGCTCTGAAGCCTTTATTCAAGAGACTAAATGCTGATGAATATAAGGGAATAACAAAGAGAATTGAAGATGCAAGAAGTGACCTTGTTACAGTCCAAGAAAAGATGCAAAACCAATATAGTGACAGTCTACTAGAACAAGAGAAGCAAACTCTCCAACAACTAGAGAAGTGGTCTCTAATTGAAGAGAGTATTATGCAACAAAAATCAAGGGTCAAATGTGTTAAACTGGGGGATAGCAATACCAAGTATTTTTCTGCTATTGTAAAAGAGAGGAGCCATAGAAATCAGATACTGGAGCTGATTACAGAGGATGGAAGGAAGGTTAATAGCCAGGTTAGCATTAAAGAAGAGTTTATAAGGTTCTATAAAAACCTGACGGGGACTTCTACAAAGACACTACCAGCAATCAACAAGAAATAATGAAGAATGGCCCTAAGCTTACTCATGAACAACAACTAAGTTTTATTGCAGAAGTGACAGAAGATGAAGTATATAAGGGACTATGTGCTATACAAGAGGATAAAGCTCCTGGAGATGATGGATATAATTCATGTTTCTTCGAGAAAGCATGGCCTATATTGAAGCAGGAGATTGTGCAAGCAGTGCAGAAGTTCTTTATCACAGGAAGAATGTACAAAGGTATTAACTGTACAACAATCACTCTTGTTAATTCCTAAAGTGAATAGCCCAACCACAGCAAGGGAATTCAGGCCTATTGCATGTTGTACTGTCCTCTATAAGATCTTATCTAAAATATTGGCAAACAGACTGCAGGGAGTAATTGCTAGTGTGATATGTGAAGCTCAGGCAGGATTCATTCCAGGAAGGAAAATATCAGATAACATAATCCTATCTCATGAACTTGTGAAGACATACACCAGAAAGAATTCTTCCCCAAGGTATGATCAAGATTGATCTAACTAAAGCTTATGATTCTGTAGAATGGATATTCTTGGAACAAGTAATGATTGAGTTGGGATTCCCTAGTAAATTTCAACAATGGGTGCTGGCCTGTATGAAGACTGTGACCTATTCAATTATCATCAATGGAGAACCTACTGAGCCATTCCAGTCTGCAAAGGGATTGAGACAGGGAGACCCTATGTCTCCTTTCCTCTTTGTAATTGCTATGGAATACTTGAGTAGAGGCTTGAATGGATTGAAGAAAGAAAGGGAATTCAAATATCACCCAAGGTGTGCTAAGCTAGGCATAACTCATCTGAGTTTTGCAGATGATCTGCTGCTCTTTGCAAGGGGTGACTTGGCCTCAATCACTCAGTTACAACATTGCCTTAACCAGTTTTATGCAGCTTCAAGATTGAAAGATAACCACGAAAAGAGTTCAATCTTCTTTGGTGGTGTTGATCAGTTGGCAAGTGAAGAGATAGTGCAGAAATTTGGTTACTCTAGAGGTAAATTACCAGTTAAGTACCTAGGAGTACCATTAACCACTAAGAAGATGTCCATAGCCCAGTGGCAACCACTTATAGAGAAGATGGTGGCAAGAATTTCTTCATGGACAGCTAAAAAACTCTCATATGCTGGAAGAATTCAATTAGTGCAATATGTTGTATTTGGTATCCAGGCTTATTGGTCTCAATTGTTTCTGATTCCTAGCAAGGTCTTGAAGACTATTGAAGCATACTGCAGAAGCTATATGTGGTCAGGAGTCGATGTCATTACTAGAAGATCTCTGGTAGCATGGGATAAAATGTGTACCCCCAAAAGTACTGGGGGACTAAACCTAATCAATCTCAAACTATGGAATAAAGCAGCAGCAGCAAAGAACTACTGGGATCTAGCAAACAAGGGGGATAAGATATGGATCAAATGGATACATGCATACTATATAAAAGGCCAACAGTTATCTAATATGCCAATACCAAAACAGGCTTCCTGGTTAGTTAGAAAGATGGTGGAGGCAAGAAGCTCAGTGGCAACAATTCAAATTCAGCTAAGGAAGAATAGCAGCATGATCAGAGAACTATATCTGGCTATGATGGGGCAATTGCCAAGAGTAGAATGGAAGATGTTCATGTTTGAAAATGAAGCAAGGGCAAAAGCTAAATTCACAATGTGGCTGTATTTCAAAGACATGATGCTAACTAGTGACAGATTAAACAAATGGGGGATGCAGGTGGACAGGGAATGCAGTCTATGTAGAGTACATGATGAGAACAGGAAGCATATCTTTATTGAATGTGAGTATACTAAGAGTATTTGGACAAAACTACTAAAATGGATGCAGAGGCAACCAAGCTGGGCAACCTCATGGGACCAACACTGGAAATGGGCAGCAGAGAATGCAAAAGGGAAATCAAGTAAGGCAAGAGTATTCAGGATGGTATATGCAGAAGCAATTCATGAGATATGGATTGAGAGAAATCATAGGATATTTGAAAAGCAAAGAAGGAAAGATGAAGAGTTAGCTAGGAACATAGCATGCATATGTAATGTTAGAGTAACAAATTAGAATAGGCAACTTATACAACATTTTCAGTTCTGATTGTAAATAATAGGAGAAGAGGAGGTGAGTATAGTTGATATATGTATAGTTTGGAGAATTAAGGCATATAGGACAATAGGCTGAGTCGTAAGCCAACTGTGGATTTGTAAAGCTTCATTGTTGATTAATGAAAATCTCTAATTACCAAAAAAAAATTAAGACAGTAAGATCCTGCAAATTTGGATCGAATTGAACGATGAACACCACAAATTACATTAAAAGGTATTATTTCGTAGAACATGTCCATCCAAAATAACTATTCTCAAAGTACTTGATCATGTGAAGCTTGAGCAAACTTGATAAAACTTTATTTAAATTCGATAAAAGAGTTTATCAATGTTAATTAGAGATTGTCATCCTATTTATTTAAATTATATGAGAAACTTACAAGTAAGATCCTGTAAAACTGGATAAAACTAAACGATGAACACCTCTAATTACCCAAAAGGTATTATTTTGATAGAACATATCCGATTAAAATAACTATTCTCGAAGCACCCGATCAGAATGGATTTGAGCGATTCTTGATGAAGTTTTGTTTAAATTCAATATAAAAGTCAACAAAAATTAATTAGAGATAATCACCTTATTTATTAAATTAATTTGAGACTTACAAGAAAGTACCCGTAAAATTAAGTTGAATCCAAGAATGAACACCTCTAAAATTTTAAATCTTAACATATATAAAGTATTATGGACCAAAGTGTATAATATGCAACTTTGACATATATGTGCATTCCTTAGAACAGGACGTACAATTCCCATTAGCGTCCCTCTATTTGATCTAATTTACACCGTACCAAAAGATCCCTAAACCCTCATCTCTCAAAATTAATTTCTCTTCCAAATTTCTCTTAATGATGAAGCCTCAACCTCATTCTTCATCTCCGCTGGCAGCAATTGGCGATATCATCCGGCAGAGTAAGTTTATTTTTTTCTGTTTTCTGAAGTTTCTTTCTTCTTATTCGCTTAAAACCAGAATCTCTTTCTTCTGTTTCTTTCTAGTTGAAGGTTCACTGTTGGGCTGCTTAGAATGCTAATTGTTGTGGTGAATATTGATTTGGTGTTGAATACTGATAGTTGTTGTTTAGGAGCAAAAAGTGGGATTTTGTGTATTGGGGTTGCTATGGAATATGGCCTCTTCCAGCATGAAAGATGTACTACATGTTTAATGTGATTTTGTTTTATCACTTTGTGTGTATTGTTGGAGTCCTCAAAAGATATAAAATTAGATCAGGTAATATACATTAATTAACAATGATTAATAGAGTTTATGAGTTAAGCGATAAAAATTTATAGGCAAATACTCTGGCTATCTTAGACTAATTGTTACATACAGAATCACTGATTATAAGGTTAACTGCGATTCCCGTGCTTCTTGAAGCACGTTCATAATCTCAAAGATGGATAATTCATTTTTTTCTTTTTTTTCTCTTTCTCCATTTGTTCTTCTCCTCCATGAATATGATACTGAAAACTCAAAAACATTTCTCTAATCTTTATGATATTTGCATCAGATTCAACTCTTCCAATAGCAGCACATCTAGAAAACTCCTCCGTCCAATGAAAATGTGAATAGTATAAAGCTTCTTTTAACAACACAGAATAGAAATATAAGCTATCACAATGTTGAATTCCTTTAACAGTTTCTTAAATCTTAAAGAGAAATGTGCAATTTCCCCATTCAGATATTGAGATCTGTGTTGCGGCCAAACGCACACGCAAGTATACGCGATAGTCACGTAATAAAGTGACTAATAGTCGGATGTCGAACCCACGAGGACTTGTGATTAACTATTAACTAAATTAGACGATCCTAATTATCTAAACAAGAATTAAACCTAGAAATATTTGATTCTAAACTAATTAAATAAAGAAATATAAATAATGAAATTTCAATAAAGGAAGTGCAGATTTTTATGATATCTATGTAATGAAAACGATCTAGGATTATGGGCTATCTAACAATCCTATTGTATTCTTCAATTGAATTGACTAATTAATTTATCTGGTTTATTGATTGCCAGGGTTAATATTGCTCATAAGAATCTGTCGAGTTCTTACTCGCCTATTCAAGCTAACCTAACTCCTATATGTCTATGGAATTAGAATCAACAAGAACGCATTTATAATTCTTGTAAATCAACCAAGCAAGGCAATTAGGTATATGTCTATCCTAACCGCGAATCGGTTCCCCGATGCCCAGGTTCAAGAACTTGCTCTACTCAATCCTAATAAGCAATCTAGAATTCCCACTTTCGAGTTCACTTCTAGATTCGTAGATTGTATTCAATTGGTGATCAAGCAATTAAATAATTAAGCGCAGGATTGAATAAATAAACTAATATGATAAACTAAGAAATCAAAATCAATATCCGAATAACAATATTCATGAAAGAACCACAGCCCTAGAACGTGAAGTTTAGCTCCACATAGATATGGTAGCAAAACAACAAATCATACAAAGAAACATAAAAATTACAAAGGTTGGTGGAAGAAAAGATTAAACTCGGCTTCCATGGCGGCTTTGTGCTCTCCCTTGGTCAAAAGTTCTTCTCAAAAACGTTCTCCCCCTCCAAAATAGGTTTAGGACCCCTTTTATACAAGTTGGGACCGTGTAGGGCCGAAATAACCTTGTCCTGAACAAAATAGGAAAACCCCACAATACAGCGTCCAAGCCAGCGCCTAGCGCTGATCCTGGCGCTGAAAGCAGTAGCGTTTTTCAAGCTTCAGTTCTTTGAATTGTTTCACCTCTTTCTCTTGTCTTGCTCTTGGGGGACAAAAACCAAAGGTTGTCCCCCAATTTTCTTCTATTATTTTATTCGTTTAATTTTCTTTTTTTTTTCTTCCGCGTTTTATTCAATTTTGCTCCAAATCTCTTTATCTTCATACCGTTTTATTCCTAAACAGTTAAAATATAATATTAAGCACAAAGTATTATAATTAACACTCAAAAGACGATTAAAAAATTCTAGAATGTGAGGCAACAATGTGTGAATATATGCATTTTTGGCCGAACATCAACACCCCACACTTAGACTCTTTCTCGTCCTCGAGTAAGCATTAAAATCACTATCAATAAATCAAGCCTAGAAACACCACCACTTCGGTAGATACTAACAATTAGGCCTTATAGCAACTCAAACCATCATATAAACGCTTCATCATCATCGTGCAAGATATACAAGTCACAAACAGACAACAAACTTCTTACCTCCTAACCTCAGAGAGGGACTGTAACTCACCAAATTTAAACTCGCTGACCTAGCTACTCTGTCGACTAAAGCTCATAACATCACCTATCTATCATGAATCAAGTGCCCTCACAAGAATAAATAGTCCATAATCTCAAATCAAAGAATTAACATAATTTAAGGACTTTGCATCAAAGAACAACTCTCGCACTCACAACGAATTCACATGTATGCACAAAGGACCATAGGCTTGCCCATTATGTACATCTCTACTAATTAAGTATGCTCGAATAGAATCAAATAGGACTTTATCGGGTTGTAATGTTGGCTAAGAGACGGGTAGGAGAACTATATAATAGTGACTTACATTTCCCTAAGCACTTTGCACTTTTAGACTTCATTCACCTATTATTTTTGACTTTTCACTTTATTTTTCAGCCCTCTCTTCATGTAACGACCCGACCGGTCGTCCTGAGCTTTTGCACTTTGATCGCCAATTTTTGGTCATGACTTGCCCCATGTTATGTGTTATGACTAATGTAGGTCGTTGGTTTTAGTTTCAGGAAAATTTGGAATGAATTTGAAAGAACAGTGCAGTTGAAAGCTTTGAATTTGAAAGGTTTGACCAAGAGTTGACTTATTTGTATACGAGCTCGGATCGGAGTTTGTATGATTTGGTTAGCTTCTTTGGGTGATTTATGACTTAGGAGCGTGATCGGAATTGATTTTGGAGGTCCGGTGTAGAATTAAGCTTGAATTGGCGAAGTTAGTATTTTGGCGAATTTCGGTTGTTAGGTGGGTTTTGATCCGAGGGTCGGAATGGAATTCCGAGAGTTGTTGTAGCTTATTTAAGTGATTTGGGATGTGCGTGTGAAGTTTCAGGTCATTCGGACGTCGTTTGGTTGGGTTTTTGATCGAATGCGTGTTTCGGAAGATTTAGAAGAACTTAGGCTTGAATCCGATGTAATTTGATGGTTTTGGTGTTATTTGTGGTGTTTTGATGATTGGAGCAAGTTTGAATGATGTTTTAGGATGGGTTGGCACTTTTGGTTGGGGTCCCGGGGTCCTCGGGGTGATTCGGATGGCCGTCGATATGATTTTTGGACTTGGTGAAATTCTGATGTTGCTGGTATCTGGTGTTTCCGCATCTGCGGAAGAAGGGCCGCATATGCGGTTCCGCAGATGCGGTAAGGGAGTCGCAGGTGTGGTTTTGGGTCATTGGAGGACTTCCGCAGAAGCGGATGGTGGTCCGCATATACGGCATCCGCAAAAGCGGATATAGACAGCAGAAGCGGTCCAGGTGGTTACATGAAGAACCGCAGAAGCGGAAAGAGACCGCCGAAGCGGAAACCGCAAATGCGGTAATCGGATCGCAGAAGCGAAAAGGAGGTCTGGGCAGAATGGTTTAAAATTAATATTTCATCCGCGAGCTAAGGTATTTTTTCCTCCATTTTTGAGCATTGTGAAAGCTACTTGGGAGCTTTTGAAGGGGGATTCGAAGGAGATTGACTGAAGGTAAGTTTTATGAGTTAAAAACACGATTATATTATGGAATTATCCTTGAAATTCTTTGGAATATAGCTAAATTGGAAGAAACTAGGGCTTGGGATTTTAAGATTTTAAAATTGGAATTTGAGGGGCCATTTGTGATCCGAATTGGGATTTTTTGGTATGTATAGACTCGTGGCGAGATAAGGAATCCATTGATGTTAAATTTTCTAATTTTCGAGAAGTAGGCCCGGGGCTCGGGTTTTTCAATTTTCGTGAATTTCG